ATGAACACGACTGTCGCACCGAAATCTCTCTTTGATGGACAATATATATATGTGTGACTTATGTTCTTGTCATAATCTTACAAGAAAGCAGGCAGCAGCAGAAGATGTGACTTAATTTTTTTTTATTTTTTATTTATAAATAAGTGGATGGTTTAATTATTAGTATACTCATATATATTAATTGTGCCCCATACATATATATATATATATATATATATATATATATATATATATATATATATGATGAGAAATATTTTTAAATAGGGCGAAGGAACACACAATAGGGCACATGTAATGTATGGTTTCAATTTGAACAATTTGTAATTTTGGAAGAAAAGAACCCTAATTTTCAATCCTAATGTGTAATTCGCGGTTTATATGAATAGGGATTTGGGGTTGGGCATGACAAACTAGTATATATACCCTGAAATGACGACAATCTCTTTCGCTGAAAGTTTGAATTTGGGGCAAAGTGCAACAAAAATATATTTTGTAAGGGGAAATGTCCATTTTTAATTTGTAGGGGCAAAAGTGCGAATTTTGAAAATGAATGTTTAATGCTTCATTTTGATATCTCTCCATTGGAGTTGCTCTTAATAGTAATTGATTAAATGTACATAAATTAAATCTGTGACATAGCACATTATATATATGCCAATAAAGTACTTATATATACTATCAAGAATTTGTGTGCATGGAATTAGCAAATTAATTATATTTTCTTTATATAATATATAAAACAACATATGGTAATAAAACTAAAAAAAAGAGAGTAGCCCTAAAAGAAAAGAATCAGAAACTCACGTTTTAAAAGACTTTGTCTGAAGAGGCCATATAAGTTTTCTCTCAAAGTTGTTTCATTTAATTGGGAAGAAGCATCTTTGAGTGGTATGTCATGTATTTATGCAAATGTCCTATTTCTCTTGCCTTTGTTTGAAAAGGATGATGTACTTTTCAAATAATGAAAATAAAGGAAGGGTATAAAAGGAAAGAAAAAAATAAAAATAAATAATATGCGGGTTGAATCGGGAGTTATCGTAATTGTTCAAATTAATATTGAAATTGAGGAAGTATTGCACATGACCATGAAAGTCGAGAGACAACTTAAGAGGAGGGACCAAACTACATATAGGACGAAGGGCATCTAGACGTACGGAAAACCGAAGTGGAATCCTCCTTCCAAAAGAGATCGTCAATTAAACCTAATAATGAGAAACCAATGACTAATTAGGCCTCCATTAAAAAAAATAAAGAGCGAGTGAGTCTGGTCTAATCGAAGTCAACCGATTCGCAAGGAATAGGGATGAATTTTCACCGAGTCGATCGTTTGAGTCTATGGGATAGCTCGTTTCAATCTCAAAGTACTCGTGATATTAAATGTCATAACTTATAAATGTCATGGAGTAGACCATAGTAGACCATATCGCATCGGAGTGCCTTATCGGCGAGCTATGATCGTCTAATGGCCGGTATCATTAGAAATAATAACATATAAAATAAGGGGAAATATGCAATACACCCCTCAAATAGAAAATATTTTGAACTAAACCCAATTGACTTGGAAAGACTTTTCCCAACACCCAAATTCCATTCTTTAATTAGTGAGACCCCCCTAGACTAGTGTGAGAAGACAAACCTACCCTCAACTACTATAACCCTAATTATTTGCACACCTACTACTTTCATCTTCTTCTCCATCTCTCCACCTAAACCCTCAAAACACTCCTAAAATTTCAAGCTTCATCCACCCCCGCCGCGCCGCCACCGCAGCTCATCGTCCGCCGCCACCGCCACCGCCGCTCATCGTCCGCTGCCACCGCCGCTCATCGTCGGCGCCGCCGTCACCGCTGCTCATCGTCGACGCCGCCGCCACCGCCGCTCATCGTCGACGCCGCCGCCACCGCCGCCTCTCTCACGCCGCGCCGCCACCACCGCCATCGCCGTTGTCGTCGACTCCCCCTCCCTCTCTTTCGTTAATTTTCTACCTTTATTTATGTATTTTTCGATTTCTCTCTCTTTCCCTCTCTCTATCTCTCTCTCTATCTCTCTCTGTGATAAAATTAATACCATTGGATTCTTTAAATTTACAAATAAAAACAGTCATAACATAGGGTTAAAATTTTGTTGACAAGGACAAAAGTTTGATATTGAATTTGGATTCATTTAGATAATCTCGGAAACCTCGTGACGGTGTATTTAAATTAAAAACTCACATTCATTAAAATCGGTAAAACCATCATCAATAATCATAGAGTAGAATTGCAGATTAAAAAAAAAAGAGAAAAGAATTCAAAGTAATGCGTAACGAAAAAAAAAGTATCTCATAATTCATAGTACCGCAATTCCTCACATAATATCTCTCTCTTTCCCTCTCTCTCTATCTCTCTCTCTCTCTGTTTTTTTTTTGTTTTTTTCTACAGATCTGGAACATATTTATGTATATAGTAGCAGCAACAGTAGCAGCAACATGACTATAGTCATATTCAAATATGACTATAGTCATATTTATGTATTTAGTTAGATGAAATGAAGCGTACTCCCCCTCCATCTTGTTCGTTAATTTTCTCCCTTTATTTATGTACTTTCGATTTCTCTCTCTCTCTTTTTTTTTTCCTCAAGATCTGAAAATATAATTTCAGATTTGTACAGTAGCAGCAACATGACTATAGTCATATTCAAATATGACTATAGTAATATT